CCCACAGAAAGAACTGCCAGAACATTGACGCTGATTGCAAAGACGGTTCAGAATCTGGCAAACTTTACCAAGTAAGTCCACAATGCAATACATACAGTCTGCGACAAACCAAAATCTAATTCTAGTAGTAGTAAGAAAGATTTTTTAGATTCCTTTATCAGATAAATTATTTTGAATTTCAATCTATCTACAGTAGTGTATTTTTTTTTTATAAACGCTAGTACCAGTCAAAAACTTTTAAAAAAACATCACACTATCTAGTAAATTTTTTAAGCTGAACAAATGAGATTTTGTTAACTTTTTGAATGCTATAATTTTCTCAGTCAAAATTTGGTGCAATATGTGTTTTTCTGTAATTTTTTGGATAATTTTGAACAAGTGAACATAATTTCTTGTGCTTTAAAAAATTTAAATGCTTTAAATACAAAAGTTGTTAAAAAGTTTGAGTTTGAATTAAATTAGTAGGACTGTACTTAAATTGATGTTTTGGAAATTGAAAACAATTGTTAGATAGAAGATGTATGTACATTTGTGATATTATCTTAATTGATTGCTCTTATTTATAGATTTGGTAGTAAAGAAGAATACATGGTGTTTATGAATGACTTTTGTTGAAAGGGAATGGGGAAATATGAAAACATTCCTTCATGAAATATCTGTGAGTTTTCTTCTTATTCTTTAATTGAAAGTTTGAAATTCCAACAATGATTTGTTCACTTTTAAAAGGAGTGCAAAGATATTTTTTCGAATATTTATCAACAGATAACATCTGCACTTACCGAAGTGTTTACTTGAAGTGTCAATTGATATAATTTAAAGTAAAAATACTATGTATAGATAAAAATGCCTGTTGTATCTTTCCAATCTGTGTTTATTGTCATTTAGAACACATAGAATTTGTTAAGATCTTAGTTCTGTGAAGGTAAAGCATTATGATTTGAATCAATATTTATGAATTCTTGCTAACTGTATTACTATCATGTTTGTTTTCACCATCTAGGGGCCGAGTGATGAAGGCAATGTAGTTAATTTTGATGGTATTATTGATTTAGGCAGAGAGCTTTCTATCTTACATAGCTTACTAACTCAGAATGTCGACTTGTGCAATAAGGTAAATGTCATACATGAATGATTTATATTGTTGAAATCAATATGGTGTCAAATATCACTTTTCTAGCTGAAAACTAAAAGCATCTAAATCTAGATTTCAGTGATTATCAGTCCATATATCTTGCATGATTGTGTCATTCAGTTGTTGCCAATTAATGTACTCAGTATAAATACTTCACATTTTAGGTTTTGTATTCACTTTTGCTCATTATATTCCAGAATTGATTTGGTTAGACGTTGATACAAAGTTTTTTGATGTTGTCTTCAAGTTAATAACTTGATTTGACCAACTTTCTAACTGAATATGAAATTTGAATCTAACTGAATTGAAACTTTTCCATCATGTAACTTCATCAATTTTCATTCTGTCATCTTTGCAGGATTCATTGGATAAATTGGAACCTTTGCCAGACATTTTGTCTAGGATCAATAGTGCTAAGGAACAGCCAATGGATGAATCCAACTTGTTAGCCAAAAAAATGGCCTTGTATAGTTCCACGCCATCGTTACAATCTAGTGTACCGGATCATTTAGCCAAACTATTCCAAGATGCTGATTTGTCTAATTCTGGTGATGTATCAATACTGCCCTCCTTTGACAGTGCCATGAATGAAGGTTCCAAATCATGTGCCGTGAACTCACTAGTGCAATTTTTAAAGAAAGGAGAGCACCGCAAAGATGATGTTGAACTTAAAAATTGTTGTCATCCCAGTGTTCACTCCCCAGAGGATTGTGTGCCACTACGAAGGGTTAATTTGTCTTGTGATCTGTTCAAGGAACAATTGTCTGAGGAATCATCAAATGCTCCATCATCCAGCGAAACTTCACCTTCGCAAGATACTTCTGAAAGCTCTCCAGGCTGCCAAAGTCACCAGGAGATGTCTGTTGCCATGACAACACGACCACAACCACTGCCTCTTTCATTTAGTAATCCTGTATATCAGTTATCAGTGGGATCACTTAAATATATTGATGAGACTACCAATGATAGCAAAAGCTCTGTCGCCAGCAATGTTAGCTTCCAAGATAAAGACTTTGACTCCACGCTAGGTATGTCACAAATTGACAGACTGTTTACGGTTGGCAGTAACAGCAGTAGCACTGAATCGTCTCCTTCCCCAGAAAAAATGCCATATGGCATTCCTGGCATCATGGACGCCCCTCACACATTGCCAAAGCTGGGATCAAAGGGGGGTCATCGAATAGAGTCATCTCTTCGTGAGCTTGAACGTTGCGGACAATATGCGACAACTTCTCGCAGCAGCAGAATACCAGATCAGAGGACCCAAAGTCCGGTCAGGCCAGTTTCTTTAATGACTGCATCACCTAGGACTAGAGCTCATCATCATCATGGACATCAAACTATTCGCACGCTGAATACAGCTGTTAAACATTCATTATATACCACAATGGCACAACCATTACATGCTGCAGTGCTCTCAGACTCTAGTAGCGGAGACAGCCCAACCACTTCCACTGCTATGCATTTCTCTGCCACATCCAGTAGTAATGCCACCACACCTTCATACAGCCCTCTTGGCTTTAACAGCCCACCTGCAGAATTATGTCGAAAACAAGAAACTGCCACACAAACAACCATGGATTCTCGCACTTTTGCTGAGGTAGGCTAGTTTTAGTGTTAACTCCACTCAAAATGTAATGCTTGCAATATTCACATAATATAATATTCTGCTAATTACCAGGGGCATTGTATTGTAAAATAGCACCTAAGATTTACAGCTACAATCTCTCTCACCTCTCTATTTCTAAGCAAAAGGCACCCATCAAACGT